GTTCCCGGACTGGGCTGTCCGGGGGGGGGGGGGTCAGGGAATTAGGTGGCTGTCCGTGTGCGGGGTCAGGCGGAGCACCTGCACACTGAGTTTCGCTCCTGTGCTTGCTGGTATGTTTTCCTCCGCGAGGCTGCCTGTGCTTTGACTTGTACTCATGTCTGTATCCTCAGTGGCCACCTGCTTGCTTCCTGGCACTCAGTGTAGAGGTGCTAAAGGACAGGAGAGCAGCAAAGGGAGAATGGCACATAATGAAGAGTGCAGGCCCTGGACTCAAAGCCCCTGGGTTCGAATCCTCGCTTCTGCCACTCACCAGCTGCGAGGCTTCGGACGAGTTACTTAACCTCTCTGTGCCTTGGGTTCCTTATTCATAAAACGAGGATAACAAAGTGCCAGCCTCACACTTATTGTAGCAGGTACACAGAGGGCCCTTAAAATCGTGTCTTCCATTCTACATGTGTATCTCATTTCACGTAGAGGCGCCCCAGGCAGTTCTTGGCTCATAATAGACATTCAGTGGTGTTTCTTGAATTAAACTGGGAAGTTGTGTGTGAATTGAATTTTGTGTGAACAAAAGCATATTTAAACGGACAGGGGGATTTGCTGCAGTTGATCCTTTGTAATACGGATAAGCATGTCTTGATTGATTTTTCAACCTTATATTTATTCTACTAGATCTGGTAAATGTGAAATATATTGGGAACTAGATCTTCCCGCAAATCAATTTAAAAACACTTTCAGAGAACAAATTATTTCAGAGAGAGAAAAAACTTCAGTGGTTACAGCTTGGGGACTTGGTTTGAAGTGAAAATTCTTTCCAACCAGAAAATACTCTCCTTTTTTGGTTTTATAGTTTTCTAAGTTTACTCTTGTCTGTGGACCTTTCTAAAGCTTTCTCTGGGCCTTAACTAGAACAGTGAAAAAACCAAGTTCAGCCAAGTAACTCTTAGAAGCGTTACTCCTTCTCAGTCTACACTGGGCAGAAACGGGGCACAACAGAATGTTCTCACCGTCGGTCAGTAACGAAGTTCCGTGTTAGACGCAACTGTTTCTAGAATCAAAAACAAAGCTATGGACTCTGACTGGGGTTTAAATGAGGGTATAGAAAACCTTCTGATTAGTTTTTTTCTTTCTAATTGGGAAATTTTTTTAAATTTAATTTTTAAAAAGATCTTATTTATTTTTTAGAGAGAGGGGAAGGGAGGGAGAGAGGGAGAGAAACATCAATGTGTGGTTGCTCCTCACGTGGCCCCCACTGGGGATCTGGCCTGCAACCCAGGCATGTGTTCTGACTGTGAATCAAACCAGAGACCCTTTGGTTTGCAGCCCATGCTCAATCCACTGGGCTACAACGGCCAGGGTGGGAATTTTTTTTTTTATAGTAATAACATAGTTGAAGTCATTTAACACCAGGTTGATAGAGAAACACTGTGTGCTGAGCTAAATGGAATAGCAGGGGACTATTTAAGAGTTGGCCCTTTCCCCAAAATAAATCTGCTCATGTATCTAGAAAACCAGTGTGTTTTTCATGGGCACTCTTGAAAAGTGTTTGAACAGATACCACATTTAAACAGGGTTTTAAGGGACCAGCACCCCTCCCGCTCTGATCTTACAGAGGGCGTTTGGAAAGAGCTCCGGAGGAAACACAGGTCACTCCCCTTCGTGCTGGGAGAGCAGAGGCCCCAGCAGGCTCCGCGAGGGCCAGTGGCCGCTGTGACACTTCAGGTTCAGGAAGTGTCTATTTTCAGTGTTTTAGGCTACATTCTTCTTGCTTGCTAACAGCGAAGCCTCAACTTAACGTTCAGAAACCTTACCAAGCAGGCTTTCTTTCTTTTCAAACGTTGCCTTAGTAACGGTGGACCAGGCTCTCACGGATGATGGTCCCACGGGCCAGTGGACAGAAGAGCCTGCTTTGGTTTGTGTCCCAGCAGTGGGTTTGAATGCCACCGACCCTTCCACCCGATTCTGCAAGGACCTTCTGTAGTCGTATGTGAGGTGTGTGTGTGCATGTGTGTGTGTGTGTAACGAATATAAGCGATGGCCACGGGGTTGGAAAAGTGTACACAACACTGGCCGTCGAGTACTAAATTGTGTCCCCCCCTCCCCTGCATCAAATTCATCTGTTGAAGCGCTAACACCCCTCCTCTGCCCTGTGGTGGTACCGGGAGGTGGGGCCGTTGGGAGATAATTGGGCCGGATGAGGTCACGAAGGCGGGGCGATCGTGATGGGATTCTGGGATTCGCACCCTCGAAGGAAGAAAGGCGGGGAGAGCTCTCCGCAGGTGAGGACAGGATGCAAAGACCGCAGTCTGTAAGCCAGGAGGAGGGCCTCACCTGGGAGCCCACCTGCCTGGCACCTTGATCTTGGCCTTACCGGCACGAGAACTGTAAAAAGTAAATTCCTCGAGTACAGGCCACCTGGTCTGTGATATTTTGTCATGGCAGCCCGGGCTGCCTAATGCACTGGCTCTAACCGCATGAGCCACAGACAAATGAATAACTCATTCATTTAAAGATTTTATTTGTTTCATTTTAGAGAGGAGGAAAAGAGGGGAGAAAGAGAGGGAGAGAAACATCAATGTGTTAGAGACACATTGATCGGTTGCCTCTCACGAGCCCCCATCTGGGGACCTGGCTCACACCCCAGGCATGTGGCCTGACTGGGAATCGAACCAGTGACCTTTGGGTTCACAGGTCAGCACTTAATCCAGTGAGCCACAGCAGCCAGGGCAATAACTCATTCCTTTAATCACTCTTTTGTGAATTCAATTACTCATTCTACTACTATGTACTGGGCCCCAGGTAAGGGACTGAAGAAACCATGGTAAACAAGGCAGAGCAGACGTCTTGTGGTCTTCTGGGAGAGACAGACATGGACTGAGTAACACTGGGAGCACAGACCCGTCTGACACAGGGCGTGAAGGTGAGGTCCTTGGAGCGGAGAGGGCTCGAGGGGGGGAGGTGTGGGGAAGGGGCAGAAAGAAGATGGTGCGGCTGAGTCCGGGAGGGGACTGTGGCACCCTCGAGGGCTGGAGGATGGGCAGGGGTGGATATTCAAGGCGTGGGGGCCGTGCTGCTAAGGAGGCCTTGCAGCCAGGGGGGTCTGTGATCAGAGTCGGGGGGCAGTGGCAGCTCGGACAGGGTGTCGTGGTGAAGGAAGATGGGGAGTTTGAAGAAATATTGGAGCCAGAGAGGACGCAGCTTGAACAGGTGTTGGCAATGAAGGGGCAATGCAGTCAGGCATGAGTTTCAGATTTCTGGCTGGAGAAGGCGGGTGACACACTCGCGCGGGTCATTGAGGTGGGGATCCTGGAAGGGAACCCGCACTGGGGAGAAGGACCACGTATCTGGTGTCGGATGAGCCGAAGGGGCGATTCTCTGAGACAGCCAAGAGGGAATGTCAGCAGGCAGGGGGACGTGACAGGGTATTTTCGCTTCTACGGCCACATGTGGCCATTTACCATTGAAATGAATGAAAGCTAAATCTTTAGTTTCTCCGTTGCGCTGGTCACATTTCAAATGCTCAGTAGCTCTATGTGGCCAGTGGCTTCTGCGTGGGATGGTGCGGTTCTGGAGCCCGGAGGGGCGATCTGGATCGGAAACGTGAAAATCTGACCCCTGTGTGGGTGACACTGAGGAGGATGGGGGGGGAGGGGGGCTGGCCAGGGAGAGGGCAGCCATGAAGAGAGGAAACGGCTGGGATCGAGCCCCGAGGACTGTCACCATGTATGGGCTGGTGAGGAAGAGGGGCGGCCCCCACAGGACACAGAGGGGAGGCAGTCGGGAGAACCACGGACGCTTCATCCTAAATGTCCAGGGGAAAGAGCGTTTGGAGGAGGAGGAGTGAGCAACAGTGAAGTGCTCCTGGAGGGTCAAAGTGGACGAGGACTGGACATGGTCACTGTATTGGGGACAGAAAGGTCACTGGTGACTTCAGCCAGTGCCACAGCAGGGGGGCCAGAGCCAAGAGGCAGACCCATGTGTGCGTCAGAGGGAAGCGTGGGAGTGGAGAGGAGCTGGCCACGGAAGATGAGAACTCCCGGGCTCCTGGTGTCAGGGACGCCAGGAGCGGCTTCACCCAGATCGAGGGCCAGTCAGTAGCCAGGACAGATGTCTTCACGGGGTTTATGCTGCCGAGTCACCAACGCTGGGTCTTTGTCATGAACGTGGGGGTACACATCTGCTCTTCCTCCTTCCTGCCCCAGCAGTCTTGGGGAGTGGCCGTGAGCCAGACCAAGGGGGTGGGGGGAGCTGGGAGGCCATGCGAACATCACGGCATGCTCACAGAACCAGAAAGAAGTTGGAAGCATTTCTTTTTGAATTTAGAAAACAACATTTTACTAACTAGAATTTGGAGCAAACACAAGAAGACAGAAAAGTGTACTAAAACCTCGATGTACTGCTCATCATCTGGCCCCAACACCCTTCATCCAGCCTTGGGTCCTGCCGCACCCAGATGCCCGTCCACTTTGACTGGAGAGTTTTAAGCACGGGCATGATTATATTTCTGCTAGGAAGATCGTTCTTGCTGCTCGGTAGAGCAGGAGCCAGCAGACTTCCGATTCACGGGGCCAGATAGTAAATATTTTAAGCTCTGCAGGTCATAGCAGCCGCTGTGACAGCTATGCAATGCTGCGGAGACGTTCTGGTGCACAGGGAGGAGTGTCCGCACCCAAAAAACTGTACTTCCGGCAGCGCGATGTAAACTCCATGTCAGTTTCACGTCACAGATGTTTCTCTTAATTCTTTTTTCTCCCCACCCACTACAAAAATGTAAAGATTGTTTCCGCTCAGAAGCAACACAAGAGCAGGAGGAGAGCCCCATCTGGCCTGAAGTTCCCCACCTCTGAGGTGGAAAAAGCTGGAGGGAGCCAGACAGGCTGCAGGCAGACCTGCCTGAGGCTAGGACAGGCGTCAGGAACAGAACCTGCGGGGCCAGCACAGACAGAGGAGAGCTCAGGTAACTGCAGTTAAATACCACCGCGTCCACACTTAGGGAGTACCCTCCATGCTCCAGGCATAATGTTAGGGCTGAAGGTACACAAATAGATGAGTAACGCATAGGGTTGTTTTTTTTGCTTTTTTTTTTTTTTTTTTTGCCATAGGGTCTAGTTGGAGACCGATTTTTTCCCCTTGTATCATATCGTAAGTGCCATAATAATTGAATTTATTAATAGAGTTAATTAAAATATTACTATGGGCTATAGGTGAGATATTGATTGATTCTGTTAGAGAAACATCAAACTTGACTTCCAAGAATGGCATTTAGGCAGGCACTGCAGAGATGAGCAGCAGCTCACCATTCAGGGGACGGGGGAGGTATTCAAGGCCAAGGGGAAGCATGGATGCACACAAGGAGGCTTGAAACTCCACCTTCTGCCTCATGTCTCTCTTCTGCATTACTGCCAGCTGGAGGGGAATGAGGAGAGGACCGAATCCATTTGTAGGCTAAGGGACCTGTGAACACGGAGTATCTGAGGTTTCCCGAGGGAGGCTACGTGGAGAAACGTTACATGGTCCTACCTGATGCAGGCCTGGCTACACCTTGCATCTCTGCTAAGACCACCCCCCCCCCCCCCCGTTCACTCCGCTGCAGGCACACTGCCTCTGCTGTTTCTCTAAAATGCTACCCACTCCCGGCCCTTTGCCCTTGCTGTTCCCCCAGCCTGGAGTCTGTTCCCTGCTTTACCTCATTGCCCAGACACCTCCCCCGACCGCGGGATTTAACATAAACGCCACTCTCTTAGGTTTCCCTAGTTGCTTCCCCACCTCTCTGCCCTCTCCCCCAAAGTATTGATTATCACCTCCTTCGTTTGCTGTCTCGCTCCCCCACTAGGACATAAACTTCATGAAGGCAGCGTCTTTGTTTTGTGGACTGTGGTATCTCCAGAGTCTAGAACTGTGTCTGGCAAAACACAGACATGCAAGAGTATTATTAGTCAAACACGTCAGTGGGGATGAAGCAGAGAGGGAGGACCGTGGGCTGGAGGTGGGGGGAATGCACTGCAGGAGCAAACGCCCGGCGGCCTCTGTTTGACTGGCTCAGGAACGTGGGAACTGGTCTTTTGAAAGGAGAGGGGGACACAGGGTTTGGAACATCTGTGGGAGATGGGGAGACGGTTGGGAACAAAACACCCTGAACTCAAGCCAAACAGATAGCGATGAATTGTAATGTGCCTGGGGGGGGGGGATGGGAGGTCCAAAGAGAAGCCAGCTCTGCACCCAGCTGGTGGTAGCCTGACTTCTCGTGCTTGGGCCTGAATGCAGGATTGCGGAGCAGGGAGAAGAAGGAAGAGGCTCTGGACCCACCGGGCAGGTGGGGGCAGGTGGGGGCAGGTGGGGGGGGTGAAGCTTGGAAAGGAGAAAACAACCCATCATCCGAGAGCCTTTGGTGAATGGCACAGAGTTGAAAGAATGAAACTAAAGCTTAGACTTTTTTTTTATTGTTTGTTACATGCGTCTTGGATTTTAAAAAAAGAGAGAGAAAGAGAAGAAAACAAAACCCTCAACATAAACATACCTGCTGTCTGGCAGCAGGGAATTCTCACTTGGCTGGAAGCGAGTTTCGGGACCGAGTGCCAGCTGCTGTGCCCTTTTCCTTCCCTCTGCTCGGGCAGGTCACTTGTGAAACAGGCCGAAGGTAAACAGAAGGGGACCGAGTTGTTCCAGGTCCTCTCTCTCTGCCTCTATGTCCCTCTTAGTGGTCTCATTAACGAGCCTGGGCTGCCAGTGCTCCCATGAGGCAGAACCGACTGCTGTGAGTGGGTCACTTCAGTTTTTGGGTGGTAAAAAGAGATGTTTTTTTCATTGTTGAGAACAGGGGAGTTCTTGTGACCCCCCTCTTAGTGACTGATGTCCAGAATTCTTTTATGAGATTTCCTTGGATGCAAGAAAACAATGAAAACCAGTGGGAGATGAAGTTGGGTTTTGGTGCTAAATAGTGCCTTGGTGAGCTGCGGGCAGCCGAGAAAGGATTCTTGCTTTCCACAAAAGTGGTAAATTTCTGGATTAGGTGTCTTGGATTTTTATTAAGATTCTCCAATTTAACACGATCTCTTCTTCCCAGCAACTTGTGTCGCTGCTCACAACTGTACTCGGTGATTTGTGTAGTTATTCATTATTGATATACTGAGCTATGGGTTTTAGTGTCCATCCAGTTTTTATTTGGTTCATTGATGTATCTCCAGCACTTAGAAGAACACCCAGCACAGGGCAGGCATTTGATGAGTATTTACTGAACCCGTGAAGGGATAAACTCCCTTTACTTACCCCAGGGACAATTCTCTTAAAATAACTAGACTTTGGCGTTTTGGAGACCTTGGAGCGGTAACTCCATTAGCCATAGCTGGGCATTTCCGGATATGTAGCAGGAACGGACCAGTGTGGACTTGGATGGAGGTTCCGGTTCGGGGTTTGTTGGACTCACGAAGCACGGCCCGTCTCTGAAGCTGGGAAAGGCCGGGTGCTGGACGCCACCGTTGAACCTCGCAGCGAAAAGAGGTTGAATGAGGCTGCACGGACGGTTTTCCCGGGACGGGAGCTCCGGGAGTGAGGGTCCCCGGGGCCCGTCGGTCTCCCGGGAGCGCGGCGGAGGTGCAGACCCGCTCCGCTGCTCCGTCCAGGGGCGCCGCCGCGGGTCCCCGGGCCCCCGCTGCCCCCGCTGCCCCCGCTGCCCCGCTGCGAGGAGGACAGCACGAAGCCCAGGGTACTCTCGAGCAGCGGGAAAGAAACTCCTTAGAACGCCGCCTGACCCATTCTTCACCTTTGCTGCGGGGCTTCCTTTATGTTTACTGCGGTTAGACACGCATAACATTTTACCACTGAGTCACGGTTTGGCGTCCTTTCTGTAAATTGCGGAAAGTCACGCAGGAGTTTGGGGTTGGACTTCGGGCCACGGCTAATGAGACGAGAGGCCGAGAGCCCCTTCCTCCGAGGAGCTCCCGGAGTGCGGGAGTGCGCTCGGGGCCGAGCCGCCGCCGCCGCCGCGAGCCTCCGTCTCGTCGGGACCCGGCGACCCTGGTCGCCTCCCGGGAGATGCGTCCTCCCCGCGGCCCGCAGGACCCCCACGTGCGGCCCGTCGCTCCGGCCGTGCCCCGCTGCCCGGGGGGTGGGCCCGGTCCAGGCGCCCGGGCCGGACCCGGGGATCCCGAAAGCCAAGTGTTCGCCCCGCCCTGCACAGTCGGAAGCTGCACAGTCGGAGGCGGCGGCGGCCCCTGGCTCCTCCGGCGTCCACTCCCGTCCGGCTCCGCCGGGGGGCGCGCTCTCCAGGCGCTGCGCTGCGCGCCCCCGGAGGCGCGGCTACCGCCGCAAAGAAAGGGACGGGCGCGCTCCCCGCCCGGGCGCGCGCCCGCCGCTCCGCCTCCCGCGTCCCCGCGCGCCCCCGCGCGCCCCCGCGCCTCCCCTCCCCCAGGCGCGCCCTGGCGGCGCAGGGCCGGGCCCGCGCGGGGGGCGGAGCCGGCGCGGCCCGGAGGGGGCCAGGCCCCGGGATTAGTTGGTTTCGGAGCGGAGGAGGGAGCCCGGCGGTCGCGAGCGCGAGGAGACAAAGCCGCGGCCGGAGCCCTGCGGGGGGTGGGCCCGGGGCTCGGAGGCGCCCCGGCTCGCCGCGAGGGCTGTGCCGACCCGCGCGCAGCGCCGCCCCGCCCGCCGCCCGCCGCCGCCTCGCAACAGGTCCGCCGCCTGCGGGGCGGCCTCGCTCCGTGCTCCCCTCCCCCGCACCCCGCGACCCCCGGGGCGCCACCGCTCGGTTGCAGGCCGCCCTCGGCCACCCGCTTCGATGCGGTTCGGGTCCAAGATGATGCCGGTAAGAGGGCAGGTGGGCTGGGGTCGGGGCGTCGGGCCCAGGAGTGCGGGGTCGCGGGCGGGGGGCCCCGGCCCATCCGGGGCCTGGGCCCGCGTGGCGGGGGCGACGTATTGGGAACCTCAGGCAGCGGCCGCGACTCCACGCCGCGGGTCTCCACCCCGGCCCGCGCGGGCGGGGCGGGGAGACCCTGCCCGGGACCAGGGTCCTCGTAGCTGCTCCAGAGCAGCCAACTCAAACTTTTCTTTCTCTCTCTGGCCGGGTCCTGACTCTTTGCAGCTCTTGAAGGTCAAAAGCAGGGAAACCGAGAATCTTATTGCTTTGTCTTCAAAACAAAATCAAACCCAAACAACTTTTCGTTGGAGTAAAATATCCATGCCGAAGAGCGTGCCCTTGCTTTCTTTTTAGTTGAATTTCGATCTTGGTACCTGCAGTAGCAGCCAAGGCGCTCGGTCTCTTTCTGGAAAACGGGTTTTGTGAGATGCAATCGCAGAGTTTTTGATCGTCCTGAAACGCCCGTGCCTGCTCGCCCGGAGAGGGTTAGGGAGTTTTTCCTGGGCTCCGCGGGGTTCGGACGTGGCCGCCAGGCCACAGGTGGAGGGGCAGGCTCGAGGCGTGCTCGCAGTGCCCCTTCCCTCCGACGGCCGCCCAGCCTGGGAGTCTGCAGCAGTGTGCTTCCTCCAGGAAGTCGCCCTTGCACCCTGCCCAGCGAGGCAGGAGCGCCTTGCAGTTTGCTCATGGCTGCATTTGTCCCAACACAGAAGCAACGTTTACGTTTCCACAGTCTGTGGGTTGGAGGGACGACGCATTTTGTTTGCCGTCACAGACGCAGGGGACACTTACTCTGTTCCCTGGCCTTTGCCTCTTGTGTCTCGGGAAGGGGTCCTGAACCCTCGTGCAGGGAACGAGCCGCATTTATTGGAACTGAGCATTGAGTGTAGCTAGTCTGGGATCTTTTGTCCCGCCAGGAGCCAAGGGACTTGAAAGTGTTCATGGAAGTCTGGGTCCTGTTGTGGTCTAACGCCTGGCTGTGAAGTTAGGTGTGTGATGTGAATGTCTAATAAGCACAGCCTATAGGCAAGCGGGGAAGGAGTTTGCTGTTACAATGTTTATTCTTGGGATTTGCATTTTTTTTTTTTGCCTCAGAATAACTCTTGTTGGCTGGCTGTGTACTTTTTCCTACAGACAGGAGCAAGACAGGGGTTGGCTGTTGCCATATGATTTCTTCCTTAAAGATCAGTTTTATGTCAGGCTGTCCTGTAGGCTTTCTCAACCCTTTTGCCTCCTCCTCCTCCCAACTGCATGCCAGATCACCAGGATTTGTAGAAAGTTACGTAGCTCTTGCGACTATATTTAATTTAGCAGCGTGGTTCTTTCCGATGGCCTTTCTGGTGTCAGAGTGGGAGTCTAACAGAGACCGGCAGTGCGGCGTGCTGGCAAGCCCCACCCCCTTTGAAGCCAGGCCAACCCTCAGGATTTGCTCAGCTACCCCCTCTGTGACCACAGGCCTTTTTTCTTTTTTAAATTTGTTCCTTAGTTTCATCATTTGTAAAATGGGGATAATAATAGTACTGCGTCCCTAGGGTGGTTGTGAGGATTCGGGTTACTGGTTATGAAGTAATCAGTTCAGTGCTGAGCTTGGGAAAGCTGCTGGGTGAGAGCTCCTCCTGAACTTACAATGCTGGTTACGTTGAGATTTCCTTTCTTGGCAATACACAAACCACGAAAATAGATTTTTATTTAGGAAGCTCATGTTATACATGTGTTCGTCCTGTAATATTTTGGGTACTTGCACATAAGACATTTCTTAAATATATTTCTCACCTCTAGCTTCTGATAGGGATTTTATTTCAGCATTGAGGGAGATTTTGGATTTCCTTCGGAAAACCTGACTTACCAGAAAAAGCATTGTGTTTCCTACGAGACATTGGACAATGTCGGAATACAGATCGTTGCCTTGATACGCGTTTTTGTCGGGGTGGGGACGCGAACTTAATGTCGGGATGACCACTGTCACCACTCTGAGGTGGACAGCGCTGGGGCGTGAAGAGCGCACCCCTTGGGTTGCGTCCAAGGGCGTTCTGAAGGGAGCGCTTTAGCGTGGACTGCGTTATATTAAAAACGGGCAAGTAAGTGTGTTCCGGTGTTTTCTCACCCAGCGGCAGGAAATCAAGCGATTCCTCTCTCACGTGGGTCTTGAAGTGATAATTGGGCCCAAGAGCAGGAGGGGAAGGTGCACGCGAGTAGGCTAGCTAAAAATAGGTAGACGGCGCCAAGCATCCCGGGAGAGGTAATGATGGGGTGCTGCAGGAGGGGGCGTGCTGCTCTTTCTCGGGGTCCAGCACCTGCCGCCGGAGTCGCCGACTCTGATTCTGCGATGTTCCCACCCCTCGTCGAGGAGACACTGAGGGGTCTCCCATACGTGACTCCTTACTTGTCTTCACTCAACAAGGGCTCGCCTGCAGTTGGAGAGCATGGGTTTTTCTCGAGCCGCTCGCTTTGTGTTCCACTGTCAGAGAGAACTAATTATTTAAAGCAAAAGCTCTCAGCTACTTAAAGTTATATCAGATATCTGTTTTCATTACTTTCATGTCGTGAAGTGTTACCGTGAAACTATGTTTTTAATGAAAGAGCTTAGCTAACTCTAAAAGCCTTCACTGTTCTTTTTAGATACGATTTTATAGAGACCGCTGTTTTTACCTGCTGCTGAGATGGTAAATTCAAAAAGCCTGCACACAACGCACACTCATTATTCTGTGATGCCACATTGGGGGCCAGCGGACTTGAACTTGCCCTTCTCTCTCAATGGTAGATGTTGTATATTTGGCATTTGTGTCCAGCTCTGGTGGAAATGGTCTCTCTCTGTGCTGTCCTGTATGGTAGCCACCACCCACCTCTACTGCACTTGAAGTGTGACTTGTGGGACCCAGGAACTGACTGTTGAACTTACTTAATTTTAATTATATCCAAGTGGGCACATGAGTCTGGGGGCCCCTGTATTGACAGTGCAGTCAGTTTGACAACGTAGCACAAAGGAGCTTCGTTTGGCCAAGAGTAACTTCCATTTGAATTGCTTATTTGCAGCTTCATGTTCACATTAATACTCTAAATTGACGTAATAATGGTCTGTTCATCCTTAATGCTTTGGAGAAGGTGTTTTCTGCTGACTTAATTTAGTGTTCTGTCTAAGCCAGTGTCATCATCTAGCTCTAACACAGGTAACGTTTTTTTTTTTCAAGAAAATAATAGCTTATTGTAAAAAGCTCAGTTGAATTGGTCATGATTTAATACTTAGATTTCTGACGGTTTGTCTTTCAGTGCTATGAGGCATCATAATCATTTCCGGTTATCCCATGATGCTGTACAGTGAGAGCTGATTATGTGCGCTTCTGATGCTGGAAACCTAGGACAAAAAACAAAACAAGGGACATTGCAGTAGCTCCTTTAGAAGTTTGGCACCTGGTTGGTTGGATGGGTTATTTCTTTTTCTTTTTTTTAAAAAATATTTTAGTTATTTTTACAGAGGGGAAGGGAGAGAGGAAGAGAGGGAGAGAAACATCAATGAGTGGTCACCTCTCATGCGCCCCCTACTGGGGACCTGGCCCACAACCCAGGCATGGGCGCTGACTGGGAATCAAACCCCCAAGCCTTTGGTTCCCAGGCTCAATCCACTGAGCCACACCAGCCAGGGCGGATGGATGTATTTCTGAAGGTAACTGAGCAACTTGTTTGGCTCTACCGACCGAGAGCTGACTTCTGCTTCAGTACTTGTGTTATTGTCATATAAAAGTCTGGCTTTATTTGTACGTATTTTCCCAACTGAACTCGTATTTTGAACTGGGAAACCCTTAGAGTTACAGCTTTGCAATATTGTATTTCTATGACCATGCCATGTCATAGAAATACAGTTCCTTTTTGTGGTTGAGTAGTAATTTAGCAAGTTAGCTTAGGTTTTATTCCAGAATAAAATTTAAGGCAGGTTTTCTATAGAATTGTAATTCCCAGAGGCTGCTAAACAAAGCATACATTTTTAAAAAATGTGCACAGTACCTCGCTTTTCATACATTGTAGTGAAGTTTGTCGCCTAGGGACTCCTGCTGCATTAATTAAAAGCCGGAAAGCATTGAAAATTTTCTATAGTTTTACAATTTCAGAAAAAAAAACAACCAAAATCAGACTTTATAAGAAACAGCACAAACGTACAACTGCTTATATTTTAAAAATTAATGTTAAATAATCTGGAGGGGGCGTGGAGGGTCATTTATGCAGACGCTGCTTCTAGGAGGAACTGCTTCTCCTTCTCCGTGTCCCTGCCCCCTCACAGGGACAGGGAAAACAATAAAACAAAACCTCTCTTTTCTGGAGCTTTTAAGGAATACTGTAGACCTTTATCTGCTGGTAATCTACCGCG